GGTCGTCAGTCGAAGTGAGCGATATGAACCCGGAACTTTTAAATAGTTTAAAAGTTTTTACTACCATTAACAGGAGTGCGAATAAGGCTACAGTCACAGCACAGGAAGCCATGGACTCTAAGAAGCCGAGTTACCAAGACTAACTCGTGTCACACCAGTAGATTACGCTGCCTAGGGAATGTCGAGAATTGTGAAAGACACTCATTCACGGATGAGAATAGCGGCTTACAGATTGGGAAGGGGAGAAGTGAAGCAGATAGACGGAAGGGAGGAGAGGATGGGAGGGTTGAGAGCGGTTGAAATGCTTTACGAGGAAAGGAAACCAAAGAGAGCGAGCGGAGTCGCCATGCAGAACCACAAAAGGTGAGGGGGGAGGAGGAGTCCTCTCCCCTTCCAGTCCCTGCAAGCCGGAGGGGGAGGCCGCTGGAGAGTGAGTGGCCAGGTTCCGCTGACCGGCGGGAGGCGGGAGATATTTGGCGAATGAAAGTGAAGGAATGCGAGAACAACGCTGCCGCGCGCCTTGTCGGAAACAGTGCTGCGCTGATTCGCGCACAGCCGGCCAGTTCGCGGGAAAGAAGCCTTGAGCGAAACATTTGGAATGAAAGCGAAAAGTGTTACATTGTCATGACCAGAGGGGAAGGTCCAGAAGCGGGCGGAGAACAGTAGTGTGGGGCTTTTTGGGATGGCATGGTGTGGATGGTATGGTCCATAGTTTAGTACCAATCATGAGATGACACAGATGGCATTGTACGAGCCGCGGTCAACGCTTTTGCTGGCTAGTGTCAGACCCTGGTTTTAAATATTGTCGAGTCGTGAACCATTCTGGCGGGAAGGTGACCTTACTTCCATACTCGTTAATAGATACTCACAAGACTGGTTAGAGCGCAGGTACTGTATTTTTTACGGGTTGCTAGTTGCAACACCACGGAGGGTGGTGCATTGGCATTGACAAATGTTGGAGATGCTAATGCTACATTTTGATTGGAAACTGTCAATATCGTTATAAGGGTCATAAGATCAGCTTCCTACATACGGTCAGGAAACTAGAAACCATGTTCCCAGCCAGCAGCTGTTGCACACACCGCAAGCGTGCCAAGAAGAATACAAAAGAAAAGGATTTCAAATCCAATCTTTGCTTTGGCGCGTGTGAAAAGATCCCGTTCCATCACCAAAAGAGCCTAGCCGAAACGCTGAGTACCACAGCGCACCGTACTTATTGTACTTTGCATCAGGCGCCATTTCTGTCCTGCCACCTCGGTCCGCCAATAAAGCGCCTTTGCTTGTCTTACGAAGGACGGCCTCTGCACCCAACCAGTCGAAACGCAGATTGGGTTGACGCGGCTTCGTCTTTTTCACGGGACTAAAATTTCGCCCGAACTCAGTTATTTTCACGGGATGTGTTGACGACCGGATGCCCTGTCAGACCCGGTTCTAGTGTGCTTTAGCAAGAACCTGTGCAGGGAATTGTTGGAATCTCCCAAACAAGGAACCGAGAGAGGTCTGGTACAGTAACCGCCTTGGGCCCAATCGACTTTGATCGGCTCTGATCGGATCGGGTTGGGTCGGATCGGATTGCTTGTGCTCGTTTTCCTCGCGCCGTACGATCAGAGATGATTTTCCTCGAATGTTTCGCGCTCTTGCATGAAAAATGTCGGCCCGTAACCTGGTAGTTGCATCCCAACTTCAGTATCGTGGTAATGTCGCCAACATCGCCCGCACCGCACAAGGTCCGCAAGATGGCTATGGCATACAGTTATCGCCGATCTGGTGTATTCGCAAGGATTTTCGAGACCTCATGGCGAGACGTGTTACATTTCGCGTACATCGCCCAGGTCGCCGATCACATGCAATCAAGTGATTGGGGCTGATTGTGTCTGATCGGGTCTGATCGGGCTGTTTGAGGCGGTTGATTGAGTTGGCGCGATCAGCTGATCGCGATCAGCTGATTGCCCCCTTGCTTCCCGCCTTCCTCGAAGCTTTTGATCGCCTCTGATAGCGCCGATCAAAGTCGATTGGGCCCACATCCTAAAACGCTCTACCACAACCGCCTTTGGTTCTTGGCCCGCATCCGCTATCTTTAGGATGTGTCTCATGTTGGGGGTCCGCTGGATCTAGTCCGCGACCAGAATCTATTGGCCTGGTCCGGGGTTCTGGTCCGATGGACCCACTTGGCGGACCAGCGTTGGACCAGACACGGACTGGTCTGCCTGATACGTCGCGCATCGGGCTGCACAGTATTTGCGAGATGCAGCTGTAGCGACGAATTTGAAATTGAGTCACCCATTTTCTTCGTCTGCACAAAAATCTCACGCGAAACTTACAAAACAAAAAGTTTTCGCCAAAACAAATGGTTCCTCACATACTGTTTACGGACCAGGCGCGGACTGGTCTGGAGGGCCAAATAAATGGCACCGTTTTAGTGCCATTCGAACGGTATAACGGGGTTACAAGCCCCACATCCTGGTCCCGGTCCGCCCTGGTTCACGCGCTGGCTCTTGAGCTGGTCCGTCAGGTCCGAGCCGCACCCCACGTGGACTCAGACATCTGAGACACCCTCTTAGTTCGGTTGGGTTTGGACTGACACCAACAGGTTCGTATTGTGGCGGGATTTGGCTGGCGGTTTGGGACGGGGCAATATTGTGTAGTTTTTTCAGAGAATTGCCCCTCATGAAAGGTTGACATTCCAAGCAAAACCCAACTTTGCTCTTCTCCACCCCTGTAATCTGGCAAACAAGCAGCATTTTAACAATCTTGAAAATTCATTTCGTGAATCTCGGGCGAGAGGAAGCCAAAGAAATCCTGAAACCCAATCCGTTTGTCCGCGCCCTTTCACCCAAGAGCGGATGACAGGCACCGTCGTTGTCGTCATCGCCAGAATATCTGTCAACATCTCACCCAAGCCCCTCAGCTCGCCACGGCAAGTTTGAGGGAGGGACCAAGCTGTTTTGATGCTCACGGCAGTCTTTCACGGCCGCTGCTGCTGCTGTTGCTGCTGCTGAGATACAAGTGACATACATACAGAAGAAAAAACTTCCGACTGTTTCACTTGGCTGGGAATTTGTTAGACATGTACTACTCCTCGCTGAGCTTCTTCCACGCAAAACTTTCTGGCCTCGCAGGATCGTATTGCTGACACTGAACCATGTAACAGAACCTCGCCGCGCGTCGCGTCGCACGTGCTGCACAGCGTGCGTTGATATTCATACACCCTGTTCACCTTTCTTCAGGAATCTCGCGTCGGCGTGGCGTTCGTGCCTAATCTCCAGTTATGACCATGTGCTCTGACTCGCTGGATTGTCTCCTTAGCTTCGGTTCAGACATGTTCTCTTCGCCAACCGAACAATTTTCCCCGCTTGTCGCCTCTCTCCTTGACGAAGTAATAATCGCGGCGCTCCTTACCGCGGATGGCGGATTCCGCGTCGCGCAGTGCAGCTCCGCGTTAGTGAATTTCTTAGGTCTTAACTCTTCCGAGGGCGTATTACGGAGGCCAATCAGGGAGCTTGTTCATGCGGGAGGACGCGGAGGCGCTCGAGGTGGGTCCATGGCCTCCAATTGCCTCCAAATGGGATAATAGTTTGCTTCGAAAGATTCTCTCTGCGTGCGTATTTTCATTCATCTGAGTTCCGATTCTGTACAGCATAATCGTGCGTTTTTCAATTCCTCTTTCCCTGCTCTCCCTGGTCTCCGCATCGTATACTTCCCGTCGCTACAGGCTCTCCTTTCGAATTATATCAGCTCCAAGCCCCCAAGCGCCCTGCGACAAACGACTGGACGTGCGACTGTCGCCAAGCGTTGACGAAACCGACGCGTCAAGCCGGCGACGAACTTCAGGAACTGCTGATGGCTGCAGCTGGTTCGAAGTCGCAGTATCACTCGCTAACCCTTTAAGTAGCTTAGAACCTAACCGTCAAACCGTAGACGACAGACACGTGTCGCACGATCGACGCTGTATAGAACGCTGTCAGGGTGGAGCGGACCAGGAAGTCTCAGATCAAGGGTTCATACTAAATGTACGCGCGAGCCGCGAGCCGCTGCTTCTATGCGTGTTCTATGACGTGTCGGCGCGGCGCGGGAGCGCGGAGTACGTAGTGCGTCAGCTGCAGGAGTGCGTGCAGCTTGCTAGGAGCGCGCCGCCCCCTCGAAACGAGGAGGGCCAAGGGGAAGGCACGCGGGGAGGCGCGAGGGGGGAAGGCGCAGGAGAGGGCGCGGGGGAAGGCGCGTCAGGGGAGTCGCGGGAAATAGGAGGAGCAGCAGGGGCGGAAACAGCAGGAGCAGCAGGGGGGGAAACAGCAGGAGCAGCAGGGGAGGAAACAGCAGGAGCAGCAGGGCACGCTAGTAGAATCGAGTCGGCAGCAGACGGCGAGAGTGAGAGAGGTGGGGTAAGTGAATTTCCCGTGGGGGAGAGGGAGGATGGTGGCGCGGGCGGCGGAAGAAGCGCGCAGGGGGGGAGGAGGGTGATGGGAGAGGGGGAGAGACAGACGGGGGCAAGGGGAGACAGGGGGAAGAGGGGAGTGAGGAGGGAGGGGAAGAAAGGAAAGAGGGCAAGGAGAAAGGAGAGGGAGGCGGGTGGAAGGATGATAACGCGGCGACGAGTGGAGTGGTGAGGGAGATCTCAGCCCTGATCGACCAGGTCAAGACGCTGCTGGTTCACAGCCGCAAGAATTCCCGGTTCCAAGCCATCTTCGAAATGTCCCTGGTGAGCATTTGCTGGTCATTGCTCACTTGCGTACGTCTCAGGGGATTAGCCGGCCCACGTCGGTTTCCCGGGCAAAGTCCCCGGGCAAAGTCTCAGGGGATTAGCCGGGACCCACGTCTGGCCCTCACCTGACCGTGGGCTCAAGTCAATGTAAGCTCTCAAACCCAAAACCCAAACTTCGGCCCCCACCATCCTTGCCACCCCCACCATCCTTGTTCACGGTATCTCAGGAGTTCAAGCTGGTGGACTGCAACGAGGCGGCGGTGCGCTACATGAAGTACCTTCCAATGTAAAACACTTGCACATGTCAACATTCAACCTCAGAACCACTCTCCCTCCCCTTCCAGGATCCAGTATTCACAGTGTCACAGGAGTTCAAGCTGGTGGACTGCAACGAGGCGGCAGTGCGCTACATGAAGTACCGCGACCGCGAGGAGATGCTGCAGCGCTTCGACCTCATGAAGCTCTCCCCGAGTTCCAGCCCGACGGCCGGCGCTCCGTGGACGTGCAGATGGAGAACCATGCGCGCATGCTGCGCGGCGAGGTGGTCATCTTTGAGTGGCAGACGCTGGCGTCCGATGGCGAGCCCTTCATGGTGCTCGTTACTGTCAGGGTAAGTGTGTGTGTGATTTTTTTGAAGTGTATTAATATATATATATATGTGTGTGTGTAAAAATATATGTTAATGAGGAATACTGATAATGATACAATATATGAAGTTTTTTTTTTTCTGATTGTCTGCAGATTTTTTTTACCTATCTTGTAAATATCTCTACTTCCTTCCACTGTTACGAACACCCTCACAGGAGATAGTGATCGACGGGGAGAAGCACCTGTTGTCCATCTGGCACGACCTGTCGGAGATGAAGCGCAAGGAGGAGGAGCTGAAGGCGGCCAAGGAGGCGGCAGAAGCGGCAAACGAGGCGAAGAACCGGTTCCTGGCGAACATGAGCCATGAGCTGCGCACCCCCATGAATGGCGTCATCGGTGTCGCCGAGCTGCTCCTCCGCACGCCCCTTACGGACGAGCAGCGCATGTACCTGGACGTCATCTGCTCCTCCGGCAACGCCCTCATGCATATCATATCCGACGTGCTCGATATCACTAAAATCGAGACGCACTCGCTCGTGGTTGACGCGTACCCGTTTGATCTGCATGTGACGATCGAGCAGGCACTGAGTGCGATCCGCGTGGCGGCGAATAGCAAGGGGCTCGGGCTGCATGTGAGCGTGTGTGAGCAGCTGCCTGTGATGGTGATAGGAGACCAGTTCCGTGTGAGGCAGATTCTCCTCAACCTGCTCTCCAACGCCATCAAGTTTACCGACAGGTGTGTGGAGTGTGGTTCATGAATGTTGAGTGCGGTTTGACGGAGTGTGGGTGGTGTGTGTGATTGGTGGTGGGATGAGGTGAGTCAGACTGTCCAACACCATCAAGTTTCACCAACAGGTGTGCAGCAAGCAGTTAACTGCTGGGCTGTGGCAAGAGGGTCACTGCGAGGGGCTGCGCTGCGGGGCTGCTGTGCTTGTGCAAGTGCAGCAGTGGGTCTCTGCGAGTCATTCAGTGCATATTTTTTTTACGACACAAAAAACACCCTCAAGGGTTTCTACCTCTTTGCGAGTCATTCAGTGCATCGCATGATGACCATCTGCTCTGTCTGTCCGCTCTCCCTTGCTTCCCCTTTGTTCGTCCTTCCCCGCACTCTGGCAGGGGCGAGGTGAGGGTAAGAGTCTCTCTCTGCGACCCGCCATCACAAGGTAAGCGCAACAGCACCGCAACAGCTTCCTACCCCAACTCCGCTTTACGCACCTGTATACCTTGCTCTCTTGTTCAATCTTTCTCTTCCGTCTCTCATCTCTTCCCTCCCTCCCTCCCTCTCTCCTTTCCTTGCCCCCTCCTTCCCGTCCCCACTCTTTGCCGTCCCCACTCTTTCCCTTCCCCTTCTTCCCCTGCCCGCCTCTTTCCCTGCCCGCCTCTTTCCCTGCCCGCCTCTTCCCCTGCCCGCCTCTTTCCCTGCCCGCCTCTTTCCCTGCCCGCCTCTTTCCCTGCCCGCCTCTTTACCTGCCCGCCTCTTTCCCTGCCCGCCTCTTTCCCTTCCCCCATCTTTCTCTTTCCCCGGTTTCCCTTTTCCCCTCTTTCCCTTGCCCCCTATTCCCCCCCAACTTTGTTTCCCTTCCCCACTCTTCCTCTTCCCTTTTCTTCCCCTTCCCCCCTCCCTGCCGCTGTAATGCCATCAGACGAGGGCACAAGGCAAGGGGTGCGTGGGGAGGGACAGCTGGGCAAGCGGATACTGGACGACGCGCATGGCCATGGGAGCTTCACAGAGAAAGAAACGGTTGGGCTTGAAAAAAGGGGAGCGCGAAGGGGAGGGCCATGAACGGGGGGAGCAGGCGTGGAAGGAGCAGGCAACCTCAGACCAAACTGGTACGTCTTCTTCCCCACCTCGTGTCAGTGCCCCTCCCGCACTTCGTGTTTTGTGTTGCTTTCTTCACTGCACCTCGTGTCAGTGTTGGTCGCCCGTCGAAGTGTCGTGTATTGGTGAAAGGTAGCTGCTGCAGCAGTCATGCTGTGGTTGCTGTTGATGCTGCTGCGGCTGCTGCTGCTGCTGCTGCTGCCGCCGCTGCTGCTGCTGCTGCCGCCGCCGCCGCCGCCGCCGCTGCTGCTGCTGCTGCTGTTTGTTCCAATGCTGCTGCTATCGTGTGAACCCGTGTCTATGCTGTCATGTGTGGTGATGTTTCAGTGTATGGCCGCATTGCCACCCTCGCTACCACGGCTGATGCGCCTACGGCTGTTGCTGCTACTGCTGCTGCTCCTCCTCCTGGGAGTACTTCTGCCAGCGCAGCAGCAGCTACCACTGCCAGCGATGCTGCTGCGGCAGTGGAGTTGACTGCTGGCAGTGAAGCTGCTGGGAATGGTGAAGAGATGGCGGTCCGTGTGGTTAGAGCAGGTAGCATCACTCCGTGTGCGGCAGAAGCAGATACGGCGGAAGCAGGTGCAATAGAAGCAGATGCAATAGAAGCAGCTGCAGTAGAAACAGACACAATAGGATCAGACCTGATAGAAGCAGGTGCGCTAGAAACAGCAGCAGAGGAGAAGGTGTGGGTGCGGATAGACGTGTCGGACACGGGCGTGGGCATCTCCTCCGAGGCGATGGCGAGGCTGTTCACGCCGTTCCGGCAGGTGGACGACTCGTCGTGCCGCAAGCACGGCGGCACGGGCCTGGGTCTCTCCATCTGTCGCTCGCTCGCCGCGCTCATGGGGGGCTGCATCTCCGTCGCCTCCTCCCCCGCCACGGCTCCACCTTCTCCCTCCACCTCCCCTTCATCCGCTCCCGCACGTGGGACGTGCATGTGAGGAGGGAGGAGAGGGGGGGTGCGACGCTGTGTGGGGCGTGGGAGGAGCTGGGGGAGGGCTGGGGAGAGGGAGGGAACGGAAGGAGATGGAGGGATGCAGGGAACAGGAAGTTGAGCGAGGGGGTGGGAAGGGCAGAAGACGGGTGGAAGGAACGGGGTTTCTGCAGCGTCTGTTGCAGCCGCAGAGGCAGCAGCAGCTGCTGCTGCAGCTGTAGCAGGAATCAGTGAAACGGAAGGAGGAGAAGCAGAACTGTGGTCACAACCGAGTGAGGTTGCAGGAGGGGTGGTGGGGGAGGGGAGAAGGAGCGGGGTGAGGGAGGAGGGGGAAGGAAGGGAGCGAGAGGAAGGAGATGAATTGGATGAGGCCTTGAGACATTTTCGAACCACTCCCTCACCACTACACCAAGCCTCTGCCGTACCTCATCACCGAGCCTCTCGTTCGCCTCGTCGCCAAACCTCCCCCTCACCTCCGCCTGTGGTTCGGTACCCAAGCCCTCTATCCTGCCTGCCTCCCTTCTGGCACGTGCAACAGCAGCAGCAGGTGGAGGATGAGAATGAGCAGCAGCAGCAGCAGCAGCAGTGGCCACAGGGGGACATGTGCGGAGAGGGGGAGCAGATGGGTGGCGGGGAAGGGATGGAAGAGGGGCGGGAAGGTGGGGAAGCAGGCAATACGTGTCGACTGGATGCAAATGGAGGGGCGGGGTTATGGATCCCGGACATCAGGGGGGAAATCTGGAAAGTGCAGAGGGAGAGGTTGCTGCAAGGAGGACCGAGAGAATGTGCGAAGGGCGTGGACCTGAAGCTGAGGAGGATGGGAAGGGGGTTGAAGGAGCTTCAGAGGTGGGAGCAGGAATGGAAATGAGAGGGGGGGAAGTGCGAGGGTCATGGCCACACCTGGTAATTCTGTGGGAGGAGGGCAACCGATGGAATGGAAGTGTAGTTTAGATGCGCCAACAGTATTAGCAACAGGTGCAGCAGCAGCAGGAGCAGCGGTTGCAGTTGCAGGAGCAGGGAAAGCAGCAGAGCAGCAAGAGCAGCAGGGGCAGGAGGATCAGCAGGGGCAGGAGGGGCAGGATTAGTACCAGGGGGAGGTTGTGGCAATGAGTGTAGGAGAAGAGGAGGTGGAGTGAGGCTGAAGAGACCAAGGGAGGGTGGATGTCGAGAAGGAGCAGGTGGATGGGGAGGAGAGCGAGGAGGCTGGGGAGGATGAGAGCAGAGCAGTGACGAGGAGAGCGAGGGTCGGGAAAAGCGGG